CTGACGCAGGGTAGCTTTGCTTGAAAAGGAGACCTGATAGCTGCGCTCCAGAGGTGAACCTGCAAGTCTGCTATGTGACAAAGCTCATTTATCACAGCTTGGCAACAAGCCGGGCAGTAAATTGTACCCAAGAAACTATTACTGAGGAATAATGATAGGCTGTCCCGCCAGAGCCAGACTTTGAATTTGCCAGGATGACCAAGCGCAGACCCACTGTGCCCTGCCAGGTCAACAGCCCACTCTGGAGGAACGTGATGGGCATTGTGTCCTCATTCCTCCAGTTCACATCTGATGTGGGTCCAAGGGGCAGCACAGCACATCACTGAACAGGAGACCTGCCAGGACCAAAAGGCTCTGCCAGGGCAGATACACTCTGGTTTCTAGATCTGCTTCTGCCTCCACCCGCTCAGGCTGTGTCCCAGAGACAAGAAAACTCTTGGAGCCATGCTAAAAAACTCCATCACTTTAGAGACCAGGACCTAACTCCTGACAACATCCCTGAATGTTCTGCAAGAAGAGGCAATAGGTGTGTGCGCTGCAGAGACAAAGAGGGTGGCTGGGTTGGTCCCTGAAGGAGCTCACACTGTTGGACAGAGTCCCCGAGTGCTAGGCAAGGGGAGGGATCAATCATTTGATCAAGAAGTTCAACGCTGACATCATTAGCTTCTCCCCAAGACTGATTGCCATTGTGAATAAGAGCTGCCAAAATATGGTTACAAGGGACACCAGCGTGCATCTGAGAGATGGATGGATGGATGGATGCCCTAAGGGATGCCTGAGGAGCCACTGCAATCAGCTCTCTTGAAGCTCCTTCAAGCTAGTTTAACTAAAGTGATCTGGTCATTCTGGCCTTGCAGGAGTGAAAGAAGCAGCAGAACTCAATATTAAAAACTCAGCTGTACTATACCAAGCCACAGCTCTAGTGAGAGTGTTCCCACCATGCCAGGCTGACCCAGCGCTGCTGGCAGAGCTTGCATGTGAAGGGGAAATAAAACCCTGTCCTACATCAGCTGGGCACGGAGCTTTGCCCCAGCTGTTTGATCAGTCCTGAAGTGGGGGACTCTGCGGTCTCCATTTCAAAGCTCTTTTTTATCCGCACAAACTGCCAGTGGCAGAAAACAGCCCCAAAGCACCCCGAGCCCGTGCAGGAGGTGAGGATCAGAGCTTGAGGCTGGCTGGATGTTCCCACCACCAGCCAGCCTTCTCCTGGCACCTCAGCAGCAGCATCTCATCCACAAAAGCATGGGAACCACCTGGGTTTAGCCTCTGCCCCAGTGCACCATCCAGGGGATGTTGTATGAAATCAAGAGGCAGCGCCTCTAAAGGCAGGAAAAAAAAAAAAAAAGCGTGGAACTCACTGCTACTGACAACTGAGCCTAATTTATCACAGTTGGTTCAGGTAACAGCAGAGTGCTGAGTGAGCTACCAAAGCCTGTCTCCATCCATGTCCCCTGCCCACAGCCCACCCCTCCAGACCCCACCTGTCCTCCCAGTGCCCCTGCCCTGCGCAGTGGGGTTCGCCCACCAGGACATGTGCAGGGCTTGGCCAGCTGCTGCCAAGCTCAACATTTAATAACCAAACTCCTTCTGCTGTTCCTTCGGGAACGGCACTCAGCAGAGTCACTCTTGCTTCCAGGAACATAATTGCCTTGAAGCCTTTTACCCTTTAATTCAGTTGGCCAACAGGTGCAGCACAATACAACAAGTTTAGTTTCTCTAGATGAGCAGAATAACAACTCCGTCAGTTACTGAAATACAGCAATTTTGAAAGGGCATGAACTCATATAAGATACTCAATGTGATAAAAACCTCTTCCCTGCGACCAGGTTTCAGGCCCCTTTTCTAAGGTCTCCTCTAAACCTCTGCTCCCTCTTTCTAAAACCCACACGGGCTGGACCTAAACCTGTGCAACCCACACCCTGGGGGGACACAGCCTTCTGCCTGCCTCAGGTTGTAGTATAACCAGTTGCCAGAACAAGCCTGGAAGGTGCCGACCATGACCCCTGTCCATGACGGATGCCGTGACCTCCCAGGCATCCCCAGCAACAACAAACGGTTCCCTCTGCCTCTGGCAAGACCAGACCCCAAACTGGATGGAAATCAGCAAACTGGTATTGCTGTATCAGCAAAACCCAGCCTTTTAAAACCAAACCAATGGTTTAATTCCAAAGGTGAGCTTTTGGAGGCTCTGGTGGGAGAGCTCTGGGAAGTGTTAAACCTGTACACCCTATCTTCAGCAGCTCTGCTCACCTTGGGGAAGCCCACACGCTGTGCCCAGCCAGTGCTGCCCATGCCGACAGGCTGGCTAATCATTCCGATGCTTGGGGAAAAAAAATAATTACTTTAACTGTAGGCTTAAAAACCACCCTCTTGCCAATTCAAGTCTGCTCCGATATCAGGGAGAGAGCTACGAACAATGCCGACACGCTCTTCAAAGCCTTCCTTCCCCGCAGCCTGCGCGGTTCACTCCGATAACAAAATCGCCCATCAGCCAGAAGAAGAAACGGAATCGCTAAAGCAGCATCTCTTCACCGGCTCTGGTTTTCTGTTTCTCTCCGTGTTTTGCTGTCTCTCCATATGGCTGTTTCTTTAATAAAGGGAATGTTGTCAAAAGCTTGAGATAATAAGCAATGAAATTAGCAAATGAAAAACCCTGCGCTAATGAGGAGAAGTGAGCATGGGGATGGAACTGCGTGTTCTCTCCCCGCTTACGCTGGGTTTGACCAAGAGCCTCTAGATGCGGCCTGAAAATCAGTTATTTTCTCCAGTGAGTCCCAGCAAGAAGACTAACAGTTAGAGCTTTTTTTCAAATAAACAAAACTTGATTTCTTCTCCAACATCAGTTCCAGTTGAAGCTGACGGTAGCTCATCCCTGGGAAGGTGGAAGGGGAGCTGCTCTCCTGAAGAGGACAACACATCTGGCTGGGACTGTGCTGGGAGCCAGGCGGCAGCGAGCTCCGTTCACAGCACAGGGCTCTGGGGCAGGGAGGGCAAGGACTGGGAGCACACAGCAGAGCCTGCAGGGTGGTCATGCAGGAGGAAGAAAGCTGCTGCTGATTAACAAAAAATCACACCTTAGGCTTGGCCTTTTCCTTCCTGCTCACACAGGCACGATACGCAGCTGCCTTCCACAATGCCAAGAGATGTCATCCCTAGGAGCCAAACAAAAGATCCCTGAGAAGACAGAGCAACAAAGAACAAGCAGGAAACTACCAAAGAAAGATGCTTTTTCCTCTCTGCAGGGAGAACAAACACTTCCATTAATCAATACAACCTTCTGTACTTGTCAATATGGCAAAAATCAGACACTGAGGGAAAAAGGGAAAGCAGGTGACAGCAGCAGCAAGGAGGAGACACAGCCACCTTTGTCAGCAGGTCGCACCAGCCCCCTGGCTAAGCCGCAACAGCTCCTCCGTGTCAGCCTATTCCTCCCATCTGTTCTGCCCAGGAAAAAGGCAAATCCTCCCCTTGCTGGATCCAGAGGATGCTCTAACAGGCCAGGCTGTCTGGCAGCTGGGAAAGCAATCTGACAAGGAGAAGTACATCAGACAGACACAGGATTCAATGGATGAGCACAGGGTGACACACTGGCCCCAAGGGTCTCAGGCCTGCGGATGCCCTGGCAAGCTGGGACAAGCCAACAGAGGACTAGGGTGTGAAGACCCTGCACTCCTCTTCACACCCAAAAAGCCCCATCTCACCACTGCTTCCCACAACTCATCCAACGGAGAGGGGTACGGGAAAGCCCATGCATGAGAGGTGCGCCAGGTAATTCCTTGAATTGCTATCCCAAAGGGAAGTTATCCACAAAACCCATCTCTGCTTGCTCAGACCATGCTCTTTTCTCCCATAAAGCAAGAGGAGCTCGACTGAACCATGCCAGCAATTGGCAGGTGACGGTTAAGGACACCGCCAAGGCGGCAGCACGGCCATCTGCGTTACAGCACTTTCTTTTTCTGTTTTGGATGCGACACCAGCCTTTTACTCGCCCTGTTGCTGCCCCTTAATCTCACCCAGTTTGTTGAGCTGCCAGCCAGCATGCTGTAACAGTGCTAATCCAACACTGCTGGGAAAATTCCAACCAATAGCTCTTCCCTTTGAGCGAGGACCGTGATCCACAAGCCTAACTGCAAAGAGTCACGGGTTTCTGGATTAGCCATCAAAAAGGAGACAGGGAAACCACAGCTCGCTATCCTGCAGCAACCTCCATGCAGGAAATCAAAGCAGCAGCTTTGGCATCTTAGAGAATAAGACTTGGGTTCAGGGGCACAAGTGAATGAAGGATGCCCGAGTCACCCACCAGCTAGGCTAAGGGACAGCTAGAGCCAGTTCTGCTCTCAGAGGCACACCCTGACACCTGAATGCGTCTCAAATTTTAGCTCCAAAATTATTCAGTCCTCTCTTCTTCCCATCAATAAACTGCCAGGCAGCCTAAGGCAGCAGCATCAAAGGGCAGAACTTCAGCCGAGGTAGCAAAAGAGCATCAAAGTGGGCAGTTGCCGAGGGTGAGGGAGCACATCCTGCCTGTGCAGCGCTGCTCCCATCAGACAGGCTCAGCACCACGGCGCTGAGGAGTCTGAAGAGCCCTTGTTGAAACAGCCGATCGAGCAGGTTCCCAGGACCTGCCTCCCTGAACACTTCCACGGTGTCAGCAGCTGTCCCGAGAAGCGGAGATGCTCAGCGTGGGGAAATCCACCCCACGGTGTCAGCAGCGGGGACTGTGGAGCAGCACAGCCCATCTGTACCGCAGGGAAAGAAACCAGCCCCGAACCACCTTCTATCATTCTTCTATTTAGTGATCAGCTACAACATTTGCAGAGATTGCAGTGAAGCCAGGTGGGATTTATTGCCCAATACCACGAATGAGGGCACTGAGGCAATGGAGAGACAGATGTACCCCTGCGAGCCCCCTGGGTATGCTGCGAGCTGCCCAGGGGAGGGCAGGAAGGTGTCACACTGTGACAGCAGTGCCCAAGCAGCTCTGTGGGGCAGCCTGGGGTACAAGCATGCAAACCCCATCGTTAGACACCAGTCCCACCTATCCCAGGTGGTTTGCTCTCTGCAGAGACGGAAAGCAGATTTTCATTGTGGAGCCAAAGAGAGCTGCCGCAGGAACTCCCCACTTTGAGGTTACATGGATCCTCCTGGGCAGAGACACTGGAGGGAAACAGCTGGAAAAGCCGCAAGAGGGAAATTCAGCCAGGGTTAACCAGCCCCAAAGTTCAACCCACCTAGCACAGAGAAGCACAAACCTCCTCCAAACCCCGTTTTCCTGCCTCGCTGTCCCCTCCCGTGGGGAGCACATCCCAGCCAGCCCCAGCACCGGAGCCCTTCCTGGCTGCACCAGCCCAGCTCCCCTGCCCGGGAAGCAGCCGAGCTCTCCTGCTATGCAGCTTGTTCCAGCCATGCAGCCTCCATGAATTCAACAGCCTTTTTCTCCAGCTAGTCTCCAGAGATGCTCTGCAACGCTACGGAGTCCACAGGCTCACAAGTTACACAATCTTTACAAGCCTCTTGTTGACCCCCAGGAGGTGTGAAGCTCCCCTCACCTCCCTGCCAGCAGTTTGAGCACAGACCTCACACCCGGTCTGTGTCCTTAACGGGAGTTTAACACAAAGCAAAGGCAGATGCTAAAGAGATCACAGGGAAACCCAGGCCCTTCCAGGAGCAAAGGACCACAGGGTTCTTTTGATCTCAGAGATCCAAAAACACAACTCTCAGAGCTAAATACGTTCTATAAAATAAAGGGAGAACTTGTAAAAATGATCCAGACTAATTTCTGCATGAACACCTATGCAAACTCTGTTTCACCGAGGGGTGCCGCAGCTAAAACTGCACTGGGAGCCAGGCTCCTCTGGCTGCCCTGGGATGGAATATGTTCTCAAACAGCAGTATGGAAATCCTGTACATAAAAATCAAGTCACAGGCTGCTATGGATCAGTCATTTTTGTTGGTAAACAGCCCCACAGATACTTACCATCTCTGCCCAGAAGGGTGCAGGGATGACGGTCTGATTGGAGAGGTGCAGAGTTTGGGAAGCATCCTGTAGAACTTGGATCCTGCCAAAATCTATCTTACTCGGCTGCACGTAGACTACTGGTCCTTCTCCAGTGCTCACTAAATGGATTTGCTGTTCCAGGAGGCAGGTAGGAAAGGTGGGAAAAAAAAAAAAACACAACAGGGAAAGTTCAAAAATATTAGACAGCTCTAGGGTACTCCTGGACTGGGGGATAATGACAGCTGTTTGAAGTTTTCAGAGCTGTAACTGATGCAGAAGGCCTGGGGCAAGCGTGGGATCTGGAGTTCTCCCATCTGAAAGCCATGAGCTCTCTTTATCCAGGGGATAAAGAAACCCAGTTTCCCACGCTTGCTTTTCTCCACACTTGCATTCACACCACCTCCATCCACCCTGCTACTCTACCCCGTGCCCGTTCCCACTCCTTCTACTGCTCAGCCTTGCCCCACACCGCTCTCTCTGTCAGCTCTGCACAGCCATGCTTGGAGAGCGACTTCTTCAACATCCCCAAAGCTGCACCTGTGAAAACCAGCACAAGCCAGCAGCAGCGCAGAGCTCACGCCAGTTAGCTGCCTCTGATTTGTGCTTCTGTGTATTCCTGGTATTATATGAATAACAGACATTAATTACTAACAACATCATTCAAGCAGTATTTTTTTCTTTTGACAGTCTGACACCCAAAAGTTTTGTTCTTGCAGAACTGGCAGAGACTATCAGAGGAGGAATGAGGGTCCCTTTGCTGAACCACCTTCTCCCATCATTCAAAACAGCGAGAATTTATCCAGCCTGGCTGGACTGCACTGGTTCTGAACACACCCCAACTCTTCAACAGGATCTGAGCGCATAAAACTCCCAACGCTGACAAGATGCTGTACAATTCACCAGAGGGCACGGAGTATGATTTAACCACAAAAGAAACCAGGCTCTGTGATGTAAAACCTTTAACGATGTCTGACTGCAGGCGAGGGCACTGACAGCTGTCAGAATCACTAGTCCAGCTCAGAGGGAGCAGCATCCAGAAACACTCATCCCTTGACAGGACACTACTGCGTGCAAACAAGAGCCAAAAATCACCTACCAAGGCTGGCACCTCAAAAAGGAGCTGAAGCCATGCGTGATGATGGATATTTTAGCCCTCCAGAGAAGGGAAGCACAGAGAGCTGCAGTCAGGGGGGTGCTGCCCAAAGCTCCTGGGAAGAAGGAGCTGGAGGGAAGAGCTGTGCCTCACCAGCTGGCTTTGCTCCCAGGTGACAGCAGGGCAGAAGCAGCAAAGGCAGGGCAGAACCCTTTAGAGATGAGCAGAATGACATCTGGAGAATGCCCAGGCTGGCTGGCTGCATGATATCTGGTATAATCCTTGCCAAGGAAAGGGCTGATAAAGAAACCCCTGCCTCATCTACAGTCTTAAAAAGGGACATGAAAAACCCCGTTCAATAGCATCACAGGCAACGTGACACACGGAAAGGCAGGAAAAGGAGATGGCACCTTTGCTATCAGTAATATTGCCACATCTACACACACCCCCAGCAGCACCACCAGCTCTGTCCATGGGTACATAACGTCACTTCTGATCAGTTAGGAATGAAGAGCATCTGTCTCTGGCAGACAGCCGCAGTTTGAGTGACCACTTCTGATCACAGCCAGCTGCCAAACCCCCTGCCCGCGGCACACTGCACTGCCTGGCCACCGGTAACCCCAGGGCTGGCTTCTCCCTGCTCCTTAACCCAGGAGGTGCCATACACCACAGGGAAGCTGGCATGCTGTCACCTGTAAACCACGTACCAGGCGACAGACCCACAGAAGGACCCTATGCACCTTGGAGGAAAGAGCTGGCCAATATCTCCCCTGACTGTGTATCAATACCAAAGGGCATAACCTGAGACAACAAGAGCAAGCTTATATCTTGCTTTATTGGAATACATTGCAGCAACTTCCCTGAGGTCGGGTTTGGCTGGATAACAGGATGGTTTAGCTGTTCTGCTAGCACAGAAAACTCCAGGCCAGGGAACGACTGAAACAACACCCAAGCTATAGGGCAGTCCTGGAGAAAACGCAAAGAATCCCGCCCAACAGCCAGAAACTCGGGTCTGTGCTGTCGATACACCCAGCAAGGTTTCCGCTGGCACTCACTGGGTGCTGACAGCAACCGAGCACAAAGCATGTGGGGTGCACATGCTCGGCTCCATCCCGTGCTAGCTGTTTGTTTAGGGACAGCGAGGATTCTCCAGCTGAAACATTCGCCCTTTGGGCAGAAAACTGACATATTCCTCTCCAGATAAAAAAGATGAAGGTAAGGGAAAGTTTGAAACTATAAATTGTCAGCCCGAGGGTAAAAGCTTTGCAAGAACCCTGTAGTTAAGCTCATAGCTCAACAGCTGGGGGTTATTCCGGTGGGGAGAAACCCTCCTTTTCCAGGCAAGTGTGCCTTATGATCTGTTTTGTCAGAGTTCAGCCTTCCCCGCAAAGGTCTGGCCTCCTCCTGACCAGGTTACGAGCACATCCACAACGGCCTGGGTTGAGATGTCCAGCGGCATCCAGGGGATTTAGCAGCACCATTTCCATTTGGTTTAATGAAAGTTTAAATCCCTCAGACTGCTCTCAAAATGTCAGCCATCCTTTCTGTTCCAGGAAGCTTGAGGTTCCCAGCAAGCCTCTGACTCCCCCTTTCATGCTCAGAGAGATGACAAGACATTTTAAAACAGTTGCTTCAAAAGTTAATATCATTTTAAAGTTTAATTAACTAAATTTGTTCTAGATTTCAGCTAGATGAAGCCAGGACACTACATACAACGTTCACTTGCCTACATTTTGCTGTTGTTGCTGCTGTTGTGTACGCCTGAATGCAAACATCTTTCAGGAGGCTTTAGGATGAGGCAAAGTATTCCTGGACATTTCCAAACTTGGTAGGAAAAAAAAAGTCTCTGTGCTCCAGATGCAAGTGGTGCGGAGACTCATGTGTCTTTGCCTGGGGCTTTTGGCAGAGATCCGACGGGTATTTCTCAGACACGATGGGCCTGACTTTCAGCACGGTTTCTTACACAGCCAGAGGATGAGACCCAGGGATTGTGCTGGGTTTCAGACCAGGCTTATCCTGTCTCACATATCCATGATTAAATGCTGTGTCAGACACTCAGATTGTCACCTCAGAGGACACCATCCTTCCTCTTCACTAGGCATTAGCTGTTGCTTATGCCATAAATCTCTTCTTGCCTCATCCACACTGGTCATATATTACAAGTTCTAGTCTTCCCCGCAAGGGTCCCTGGAATTAGCCACCCTGCCTGTACACTTGACCCCCACCAAGATACATCACACAAAGCCACACATACTCACCAGTGGGAATTTGTCACTCCCAAATACCGCGACATGAGCAACAGTGTCCTGCTCTCCCGTCACCTGGGCTTCCAGGGTCAGCGGGACCTGCACTGAGCTGTGAGGCTGGATGATCCCACAGGGCACGGAGCTGGAGTACCACACAGCAGCATCCTCCTTGTGCTCCTACAACAGACAGAATCAACCCCAGCTTCAGAGTGGCCTTGGAGGAAACTTTAAACTTCTTGACACCTACCCAAAGGCAATTTACACATTTGAAAAAATCCCTAGGAGAAAGCAGAAAGGCACAAAACAAGATGCAAGACTTCTATGGGCTTAGCATCCCCATAGGGTCCCAAAGCTACTGCATCCAAACACCCACTGCTGTGCTGGCAGCCTCCTCGCAGCAGCTTTTCAGGACCCTCTAAGTTCTCCTGCATGAAAGCATCCCAAAGACTAGAATATCAACTGCTTCCTAAAGAGTTTAAACTGCTTTCTAAAGTTTATATTCATGTAGGTTCCTATTCTCACCTGAAGGTTTGCAGAGAACAGGAACCTACCCGAATATAACCTAGCAAGGTCTTATCCAAACCCCCTTTGCTTCTAATAAATCCCTTGATAATATTTGTAGGCAGGAGGAAGATGTGATGCCAAACCTGAGGAAGAAGCCCGTAGCAGCCTTGAAGATTGCTGTCGTTCACAATGGTCAGCAGCTGCTGATAGGGGAATTTTAGAAAACACCGTCCAAACGTCACGACGGGGTTCAGCACTCGCAGCGGAGGAACTACGCATCTAGGCAAAGAGATGCCCAAAGGGGAATTAGAGACACTCAGTGAAGAATTTGTTTACTCCCCAAATAATATGAAATGAAGCATAATACATTTGTCGCTGTCAAATAGACATTTAATGCCCCTACAGCGATAAATCGCCTTTAACCGCCTTTTACTCAACAACCTCTTGTAAAGGAGGTGCCAGCCTCGAGACTCAGCATCGCACAGGCTGCCAGGCACCCAGGCAGAGCACGGTGCCTGTCCCAGAGCTGTCTGATGGGCTCTTTTGCCCCAGGAGGCTTCCAAGGACCCTCCCAATGGTCCCAGCAAAGCATGAGCTCTGGAGGAGCCTTCCCACCGAGAACCAGTGCTCAGCCAGGCTCAAGGAACACAAAACTCCAGTGGCTCAGTAAAAACGACTCCCTCCCCTCCCATATCACTGTTGTCCTGCCTGAAAACTCAGACGCTCCCCCCAGTGCTAGAGAGCACAAGCCATCACCTGCCTTACGGAGCAGGGTCTCACCCTGTCCCAGTTCCTGTAGCTACCCTGCTCCTTCACCCCACGGGTCCCTTGCCCTCTGTTCCCGTTTACACTTGTTTTACAAAGCTGCAGCACAAGCGCTGCCTGGAGAACTCTGCCTGGGAGAGGGGAAACCACATCCCGCTTGTAAGCACACTGACACCCGCTGCAGCACAGCAGGATTGAACGTGGCTGCAGGAAAAACCACTTTTGGCTTAAGTCTGAGAACATTAATGCTCAAAAGAACCAGAGGAAAGCAGAGAATCCGGAGCTCACCTTCCACACCAAGGACTGTTTTTCCCCTCATAGGATCTTGCCTTCCTTTCCCCCCGCCCCAGTTCATAAGCCCGTCCCCATTCGCACGAGCCTTCGTTAACTGAAGCAGACACCAAAAAGTTTTGCCCAGATGAAGGTTGCATCTTGGTTGCAACCCAGCACAAGTCCACCACTTGCACGAAGGAGAGGTGGCTCTTTGGAAATCTGTTATACCTCAAGCACCAAACTCCAGGTCAAGAATAAACAGAATTACTGTTCCTGTTAGAGAAAGGGTCAGGATCACGCCTGTCGAGCACGGGTGCTCTCAGAGCAATGCTGTTCTATCTACCTGGGCAGAACTCACTCAGGAAAAACGTTTATCTCTTGGAGATGGAGCCAGCAAACCCCATGCAGGGCAGTGTGCTGGCAGTGAGTGCACAAGGAGAGCTGAGGAGCTGCAAGGAAAGCCCTGGTACCTGGCTGTGAGGGGCAACACCAACTGCTCCTCACCAACACCGTCCACGTCCACCACCAGCTCCAGTTCGTACCTCTTCAGCGTGTTGGAACATAGGGTGACCTGTGGAAGAGAGGAGCGTCACGTACTTCAGCACGCCCACAAGACAGCGGCTGTGCATGGTGGCCTCTGGTTCTCTTTCCACGGTAAGGAAAGAGAGGATTGTGCCCTAATTCTTCTGCTGGTCTGTGGATAGAGCACAGCTTCTGGGAGCAACACAAGTCTTCTGACAACATCTGCTTTGTTAAAGACAGCGTGCAGGTTGCAGGGTGTACAGAAGCTAAATCAAAGCACAAATAGACTAATGCTGTACTCATCACCGTATTAAAATTAAGGGACTGATTTTTAATCTCGACTACAATAGTATCAATCCAGAGGGAATCTGTTGACTTCAACAGAATGAGTTCAGCTTTACAAGGGGAAGCCGAGGGCAAAGCGTGGCCCAGCAGATGCTGTGCAGTTCAGGGCTGCCAGAGCTTTTTCAGTCCCCATCGGAGATCACGTCTGTGAACACAGCTCCTTCTGCTCAACAAGGGAGGAGAAATAAGACTGGGAACAAAAGCAAACTGCTTTATACAATGACACCCCTCCTTTTAACAGCCACCTTCTGTCCTCATCCTTCCTCTGCCCGTTTTAAATCAAAGAAACCGCTCTAAGCAGCTCTCAAAAACCCATGAATGGCTTCTGTACTTGACCATACGGTACCCGATCTGCAGCTTACAATTTCGGAAACAAAACAGTGTTCCTTCGGAAATATCCCAGAGTAACCCAGCTAACAAAAGCCTACCACCAGTGCATGTATCTGACTCATAACACACTCAAAGCCAGCAGCACCAAAGGCCTCTCATACACCAGTGAAGCTCCAGCTCCACCTGCTGAAGCACATAGGGCCAGACTCTTCCCACACCTCAATATCCATCCATGACAGGGCGCGGATGGTCCCTCTGCGAGGCGTGATGGTAAATTCGGTTGGTTTGACGTGACCTTGAGCTCCCTTTCTCCAGGATGGGCGAGTGCTGTCTGATATCTGAACAAAACTGGTAACGCTGGGCTCTCCTGAGCCGTCCCCAGGAACGCGAAGGTTGTAGGTCATGGGCACCAAGGAGGTGTTACTGATGCGACACGTCAAGGTGTGGGGAAAGCCTGAAAAAACGACACAAAGATGAATTTATGCACCAATTATCCCGTGATTCCTGGTGCAAGTATCCTGTTAAGATAAAACTGCGCTTGGAGCTTAGCTCTTTTCAGTCTGAATTACAGCTAATTGAGAAGCTAAGCGAGGAATTAACCATCACTTAAGTTCCCTTTTACGCTGATCAGAGACTGCTTCCTTGGCAGTGCCCGCTCTCCGCGATGCCAAACACCAGAAGTTTTTCCTCTGTAATTGGGAGGAGCTCTCTTCCTTATCTGTGCCCAAATCAGCACCAATTGTTTCTCATGAGTGTGCATCCAGACAGAGCATTTATTTGGAAAATTCACTCAGCAGAACCCCATGTTAACTCCCTAACCAGTTCCACAGCTCTGAGCACACAAAAGCAGTGTGCTGTCACGGAGGAGCAGCGACAGCAAAAGGAAGGAAGGGTGAAACAGGGAACTACAGCACGATGCTAAGCACTCAAATGCACTTTTTCTCTAGGCAGGATCCTTAAGGCATCTCCTGTTTTGGGGCTACCAGCCAGAGCATGGGACAACTCTCAGCTCACTTCACCAGAGACAAGCCTGGTGCTTGCTGAGAAATGAGCAGGAACCACGTGTCACCGTACCTGACAAACGGGGACATCACATCCACGCTGCACGCTGGCTTTGGTTTCTGCCTGCAAAGTTTTACCCCACTGTAGCTTTGCTATTAGCTCTCTGTTACGCAGCGGTGACGGAGCCATAGCTGAGGGATGTTCTGCAGGGACAGGACACCAGCCCACGTGCCTTTACTCCCAACCTGCTCTGAAGCGGACATCTGGCTGGCCAGCTCCGCAAGACACGGCCAGCTCCCATAGCCTGCTGTCCTGGATTGGGCTGGGACAGGGGGAACTCTCTTCCCAGCAGCAGTGTGAGGCTGTTCTGGATTAGTGCTGAGCAGAAGCTGATCACACACTGATGGTTACAGCTGCTGCCAGGACAGCCAAGGACTTTCCAGCTTCACTGCTGTGCCCGTGTCTGCAGGGCCAGGAGGAGCTGGGAGGGAGCACAGCCCCAGTTACTGGCCCAGGATTTGACCTCAGGTTTAGGACTGAGACCCAAACTGGCTGATGGTCTATTCCAGAACACGCATGGCATGGCCTGCGTATAGGTGAGGCTCTGTCCGGAGGGGCTCTCTCTTGCCCCTGGCTGTCTCCCTACAGGTCACCCCTCTCTCAGGGTTGTCTCGGTCTCCCAGACACTCAGGCTCTTATCTCTGTTCTGGGATTGTGGTTTTGGGACTCTCCCTGCTCTGGGATCAGGCTGAGCCTTGCTCATCGGGTGGTGAGCAGTGTCACTATGTATCGCTCAGTCATGTATTTGTATATATTACTATTATTACCATCGTTATTATTATCTCCACTATTATTGTAGTTTAGTTATGAAATTGTTCTTATCTCAGCCTATGAGGATTTTTTCCCTTCATCCCTTTAATTCTCTCCCCCATCCCTGGAAGGAGGGAGGGTGAGCGAGCGGCTGTGTTGTGTAAATGACAACACCTCTCTTTCAAGCCTTATTTGAAGACAGATGGGGAGGAAAACCAACTGCAGACAGAGCAGCTGGTTCATCCACACCCATTGGCAGTGCCCACTGCCCACCTCCAGCAGTTACTCCAGCAGGGAGGCAGGAGCTGCACAAAAAGGACAAACGCAGACTGCACTGTCCCAAACAAGAGCCAAGTCACCAGACGCAGACAACAGTGAGCGGCACAATTAAAAAGCAAAAAATACAATAGTTGCCTGCAGCTGAAAAGGCCTTATTGAGGCAATCAGATTAAGTAGGATGAATCTCCTATTACATAACCATATTCCTGCCCGGTGCGTTTCTTGTTATTTATTCAGAAGGAAACAAAGCAGCAGCAGAGCGGTGATGCAGGGAGGGGAGGAAACAGCTCGGGAAAGGTAATGAGTTTTCTTAAAAAGCCCATGAACAGCATGCAAACACAGAGGCAGCCTGGGTGCAGAATGATAATGGCCCCTCAATCAATCCACGATTGATTTCACATTTAAACTTTAGATCATTTCAGTAAAAAGTGCTTTGTGAGACTGAGATGGAGAACCAGAATCTGCATTTCAATGGACCCGCTCTGGACGCCCAGCCAGCGGCTTGGCTCGGCAGCAGAGCTGGGCTTCCTGTGGGGAAGGAGGAGGAGACATCAGCGCCCGATGGAGAGCTCCTGCCTGGGCATATTGCCTCGGATGTGATAATGAGGTGCCCTCACAGCACTAATTAACATCTCACACTAAAGGTCAGCTGGGTAAACAGCATTCTTGCCTAGCAACAGGAGCATTTACCCAGAGCAGCTGAAGGCCAGTGTGTGACTTCAACCCCCTTCTCCTGCAGTCCCATCCCCTGGGCTCTGCCGGGACAAGGACTTGCACTGTCATTCCGCTGCCAAGGATTGGGAGGTTGGGGCTGAACAGACCTGAGGGATGCCATAAAATACTGACTTTCTATTCCTGCATTCCGATTTGATCTCAGATTGGCATAACACCACCTCAGCAACCAGCAGCCCTGGTTTTAACACTGCGAAGGCTGCTACGGAGGAGCACAGGTGACAGATGCTCTGATGCTGAAGGGCTCCACTTCGGTAATGCACAGACCTCTCAGGGAACACTCACCAAAGGAGACGTCACCGAAGTGGAGGGAAGGTACATTGAAATGAAAAGTCGGTCCGACGACACGGCCACTGTGAGGACAAAGACAGAGGAGACATCACTTGGTTAGAGAAGTGCAACGCTTTCAGCTTTCATCACCACTCAGATGGATGCAGAACCACAGTGGGTTTAAAACCAGCCCATCACCCTTGTGCTCAGCATCCCTGCAGACAGGAGGCAGCCAGAGCAAAGCAGCCCGCAGCTGAGAGCTGCAGATGTGGCCGAGGGCATCCCAGCAGGCGGGGGGCCAAGGGGCTGCCCCCACGCTGCTGCTGCCCAGTGAAGGACCCCAAACAAATGCTGGCTCCGTGGTTCCATTTCCCCAACTGTAATGTGAAGGACACAGCGGTGTCCACACAAAAGCAGACTCGTAACCAGCCTTCCCAGCTGCGGGTTCCCTGTGCTGGTATTTCTCAGCTGGAGCTGGTGTTTCCATGGAGAATATGAACTTCTGTCCCCTCCGAAGATCTGGATCCACGCACCCATTAGGCACACACGATTTTGAGATGTGAATCCAGGGGAACATCTAGACACCCATTGACTGCAACAAGGGTGGCAACAGTTCCACACGCCAATGAATGCCAGCTCTGCCTCTTAGTTAAAAATCAAGGACCACAGTGAACTGTGCCTTCTGGTTTTATTCGTGGGACTGCCACTGGGTCTGTTCTGCACATGAACAGACCCCAATGTCCCACAGGAGGGACCTGTGTTCATCCCTGGTGTCCCCTTTCTAAACACCAAGAAAACACACATTCAGGACCTTCTAAGGTTGGTTTCAAAGTACAGAATAATCACCTATGGTTTGGGCATCTTCTGATTACATAGTCAAAAAACACTCAAAAAAACCTGACTTTGAGTTTCAATCCACTGATAATTCTCCTTCTTGGAGTTTAATCAGTTCCTGAGGATGTCACATAGCAAATTCCTGAAAAGTTCCCTCTCCAAGGCTTTCCCATCATCAGACCTAACCTCCCAAGGCCTAACAGCTTCCTTTAGACAGAGTAAAAGGAGCAGACATGCTTTCTGCCACAACACTTGCCAGGAGACAATGGAAAACTACCTCCAAAGCAACCCCAACTGGGGATCACACTGGGAAACTGCCAAGGATGAGCCTTGCCAGGCGAGTGGGGAAGTGACTGCCATTTCTGCTGAGCACACTGTATCCCTGCTCAAGCTAAACCTGAACGACTGCCCAGAAGGCTCAGGCAAGGAGCCAACCCAGCTTGCAAGAAAATGGGGGACAAAAGCGGTGTTTTTGGCAACAGCCATGTTTTACAGCAGCATTAAATGATGTGTTTGTGAAGGGAGAGGCCCTGGGTTCAGCTGAAACAGTTAACTTTCTTCACAGTAGCTAGCAAGAGGCTGTGTTCTGGATTTGTGCTGAGGAGAAAGCTGACAATGGTGATGTTTATAGTTGTTGCCAGGACAGCCAAGGGTAAACCCATCACAGGAGATCAGGGTCCTCGCAGAGCGGGAAGGATAACACAAGGTGGGAGAGGAAGAACCACTTGAACACTCCTCCTCGTTCCTTCCTTTGCAGCCCGTTGTCCCACCAGCCTGCTCGCCTCCATTCCAAAGAACTTCTCCATGGGGGACTAAATCCAGTGCTCAAAACCTCCCGAAGACAACGATTCAGCTCAGCCTGGTGTGCAGACAACTTGAAAGGGTTTGAAAACAAGCAGCTTGAGTTGTGGGGCTGGAGAGTGAGATAAGGGATCCTTGAAAAAGGCAAGAGAGAAATGAAGGCGGCAGATGCCACCTCAGGGAGGAGGAGACTGCAATGGGAATTACTGCTGAGGGGGACAGTGGTGCGGGAGCAGGTGGGGATGCTGGGGTACCATCAGATGGGCTGCACAGGAGCCACCAGTCAGGAGGAATACAAGGATGGAGAAGAAAAAAAAAAAACAGAAAAGGACCTTCTCTCTCTTTCCTGAGATATAAGGTCTGCACTGAGCCCAGGGTGGTGCTGTCAGAACAGGGCAGAGTGGTGTCAGGGAAGGGGAGGACGTGCACTGGGAGCCAGGGCATCAAAAAGGTCCACTTTGGTTGTGCAGAATGCAAAAGACAACTATCCCACTGCCAGCTGTTTCCTTCCCCAGAAGCAGCGCTGCTACGGGGCAGAGGCAGGGGCACTATCCAAGCAATACCGTGTTCCACCTGTGAGAAGCGCATCTTTACAAGCAAAACCTGCCCTTGCTCAAGGAGAAAGCTGCTGATGCAATAACATCCTGTGTCCAATCTGGGGGACGGACAGGGGAGAATAAATTATTTGATTGTGAAATGTTCCCTCTTGATTTCCAAAAAAAGCAGCACTTTCCCTCCAAACATAAAGCCAACATAATTGTTTCTTTACTGAGGTCAACAGACCTACTTCACCACTCTTCTCTGGCAAAGCAATAACCTTGCTGTCCATTTCCCTTACCTTATTGGTAAAAATCGACTGCAGATCCTTTTCATTCCTTTCCTACCTTGATCTAGTGCCTCCCAACAGCAGCAGCCCAGGAGGCCGGCTGCCCTGCCAGCCCCAAAGCTCCAGAGCACCCAGCAGCTGCTCTCCTGCCTGCACCACGTCACCCCACCAGCCTGTGGTCAGGACTAGCTGGGGCAAGTTCACACGCTGCTGTGGTTCTCAGAAGCGAGCTTCGCCTCTCCTATCGTCAGCTTTGCTTTTCTTTTTTCCCCTTCTCCCTGTTGTTCAGTGAGGATGATCTCTTGCAATGGCACCAGCCCAGGGGATGATGCCCAAGCCCTTGTGACAGTCCTTGCTGCAGAGCTCCCCGCCTCCCACATCAGCACTTTTCTGGCTGAGAAAGGAAGCACTGTAGCAACTGCTGCACAGGAGCCACTAGGACAGCCTGTCCCAATGCATTAGTGTCGGAGACGATGCTGAGGCTGCTGCTACCCATTTTGTATAGATTCTGCCCAGAGGACTGGAAAAACACTGCCGCTGGCTCCAGTATCACCCAGGCTGGCCCATCTCTAAAGCCCTGATGGCCTTGCTGGATGTTCAAGGTGGGACGTCCCAGACCATCTACTGCCCAAAGCTGATACCATCACACCATTTGCCGTGGCCCAAGGGGGAATGAGCTGTCTGGACGAAGGAGTCACTCTAGCTCCTGGGCACCCAGACTGGGCAGCAGGCATCTCCACACCTTTCCTGTGCAGCCTCCAGGCAAACAGCGTCCTGGAAAGTCACAGAGCCACCCTGGCTCAGCCACAAAGGGAAAACTCAAGATTTTGAAAGTTAAACTGGGTATTGGGAGCATAGAAGGTATGGTCATAGGTGGCCAGATCAAGGAAGGGGATTCTCTGCCTCTGCTCTGCTCTGCTGAGACCCCCCCCTGCAGTGCTGCATCCAGCTCTGGGGTCCTCAGCACAGGACAGACACGGAGCTGCTGGAGCGGGGCCAGAGGAGCCACGGAGATGGGCCGAGGCTGGAGCAGCTCCCGTGCGAGGACAGGCTGAGAGAGTTGGGGGTGTGCAGCCTGGAGAAGAGAAGGCTCTGGGGAGACCTTCCAGCACCTTCCAGTGCTGAAAGGGGGCTAGAGGAGAGATGGGGGGGGCTCTGGATCAGGGGATGGAGAGATAGGATGAAGGGGAATGGTTTTAAGCTGAAAGAGGGGAGATTCAGACTAGACAGAAGGAAGAAATTGTCTATGATGAGGGTGGTGAGGCAGTGGCCCAGGTTGCCCAGAGAAGCTGTGGATGCCCCATCCCTGGAGGGGTTCAAGGCCAGGCTGGATGAGGCTTTGGGCAACCTGGGCTAGTGGGAGGTGTCCCTGCCCTTGCTGGAGGGGGGTTGGCCTAGACAACATTTAAAGGTCCCTTCCAACCCAAACCGTTCCATGATTCTATGATTTCCTCTCACAGACAATTACACTTCATTTCCTGCTGCAACTGCAGTGTCCAAACGAAAGTCAAGGTTAAAAAGCCTTGGCTCTCAGCATGGACATGCTAGGACCAGAGCCAAGACTAAGACCTTAGACAACACCTTTTTTTCTCTGCTCCATCATAATATAAGGCAGGTGAGAGAGAACCCAGAGACAGCTACAGATGTGCCCACCGTGCTCCTATAGTCCTCCTCACCTGACAGTGAAGGTCACAGGATCAGGGCATCCCTGCACATAGAACAGGAACTCTTCCATGAACTGCCCCAGGATAGTGGAATTGAAGGAAATCTTGATGACTTGGTGCCCATTTGGCAAAATGATGCCCTCCTGGGGGGAAAAGGTGAAGCAGAAGCCTGGAGCTGTAGCTGAAGGGATCAAGCTGAAGGAAGCATCAATGGGTCCTTTGTTAATCAGGGCCGTCTGCAGCAAGAAGAAAGCAAAATGGAAATACGTAAGGAATCTTCCTTTCTTACAGAAGGCTGATTTATTTCTGATTAAACAATTAACATCTGTAAAAGGCAGAAGGTGCTGCATGCTGCTGCTTGGCAGAAGCCAAAGCAAATACAACAGAACAAGTTCTGCCTTTGGTTTTTTTCATGCAGAACAGTGATAACTTCACATAAACAGAGTCACTCGGGGTTTATTCCACTGACACAGAGCAGTCCACTTCGACTTGCAGTGCCGAGGACCTGCTCAGCATCACTGAGTCATTTCAGACCCATCCCTAAGAGCAGCGAAGGGCGGTTGCAGCATTACTCCTGAATCATCAACAACTGCCCCTGCTCCAGGCGAGCCCAATCCTGCTGAGCACAGAACACGTTCCGCTGCCACTGCAGCCAGCAAGTTTCCTGCATGCAGGAGACAACACCTCAGGCCAGCACTCTAACCAGCTTCAGAAACACTCCCCAACTCTGCTATGGCATAGAATTGAGGTTTCTTGTTTAATCTGAGAGTTTCTTAGTCTTTGCTCAACCAGAAAGAGCAAGAAAGGATGAGTGAGGTGCATAGCACCATAGCACCATCTGTTCCAAAGAATTTCTCTTTCCTAAGATATTCACAGCCACTAACTAAGATTTTACCATTATTAGAATAAACTGCAAATTTAGAACCAAGTCATCTTTTGTTGAACACTTGCCTGAACAAGTGACACAACCCCACAGCACGCATTGAGATTCATCTCTTACGTTGGTCAAGAAATGCCCACGGCTGCTGTGAGAGCCAGCAGCCAGCCACCAATAAACCTACCCAAACCCTACTGCTTTGGATTCCTTTTCCCTCATTTTCATCCTTGCAAAACCTGTCAGAAAAACTCAGACAGAAGCATAGAAATGCCCCTTATTTTCTAATTTTGCATCTGCTGTGGAAAATATCCACGTATTCAAACTCCTCCATGGTAACTTGAAAACTACTCTCTCATCTGTTTTACACCTTAGTTACACATTGCACGTAGGGATCCTACACTGAGCTGAGCTTTACCTCCAGTCGAGCTGCTTAGTACAGCACTAACAGCATCACCTACTTATTCACATTTTCTCAAGGAATGAAAAATATAAATTGACATAGAAAGAATCAATAAAATATCAGCATTAAAAATCCATAGAGCACACGACATTTGGGTAAGAAAGCACCTTAATGTGTCCTTCCTTGCCACAGTCAAGCTTCCGAAGTGCCTGGCCCAATGTATTGCCTCATTTTCTACCTCTCTCACTTGCTTGCTCTCATTTTTTTAGAGAACACTTGACACCACTGGGGAGGGAGACAAATCTATAGCAAGTTCCTTTGCTTCGTTTCAAGCTGTGCTTTGGTTTTTAGAGAGTCAGAGATGCACCAAGTCTGAAGCATGGTGACAGACTGGTCAGCAAGAGACGGCACTCCCCAGTTCTTCGCAAGGGCCAGCCCTGAGCCTGGAGACTGCACGGCTTTCCTCCCACCCCAGGAACCCGCGGGATGCACGGCTTTCCTTCCACGCCAGGAACCCGCGGGATGCACGGCTTTCCTTCCACGCCAGGAACCCGCGGGATGCACGGCTTTCCTTCCGTCCCAGGAACCCGCGGGATGCACGGCTTTCCTTCCACGCCAGGAACCCGCGGGATGCACGGCTTTCCTTCCACGCCAGGAACCCGCGGGATGCACGGCTTTCCTTCCACGCCAGGAACCCGCGGGATGCACGGCTTTCCTTCCACGCCAGGAACCCGCGGGATGCACGGCTTTCCTTCCACGCCAGGAACCCGCGGGATGCACGGCTTTGCTCCCG